ATATTATTTAAAAAAATGTTTTAACRGATGATCTTCTTAGAAAGAGTAACTATGCCAAATTACATTTTGTCATATTTGAATTCAGAACAGCTTTTAAAGTACGCAATCTCTAGTTTAAAAATAAAGGGTATTTTCCTGATTTCAAATAAGAGCAGTTTACGACCTGGTTTTGATTCTTTGTATTTTCTGACTGAATTTATCCTGCGTAATCCGTACACCCACTTAAAGGCAGAAGGTTAATTTAAAGTCTATACGACGCTCAGTTCTTGGATGTCTAGAGGGTCTAACAGTCTATCCCATATTTACGTTGCTGTTGACGTGCGCGCAAAAGTTCCATGTAGCCGGCAATAAACTCACTAGTTGTATCTTGTAAACTGATGTCTTTATTTTTGTATTCGTTTTAAAATATAAATAACTATATTATACGGCTTCTATACTATATTTATCCTATCTTAAGCAAAGATCCCTAATACAAACTTTTGCCYAATGATTCCAGATTGTCTTGCATAAAAATGTCATTCCCTAACAATGAGAACCTTATTTATCAAATTGATTTAAGCACGATTGAAAATTTTGTCTGAGCCACATAAACGTAAGCTGGTAGAACTGAGCTGAGCTTCAAGAAACGGATCTAGGAACAAGCATAAGAAAGAACCGGTAGAAGCGTTAAAAAGAAGTCAGCTCAAAATTCTTTTAATTCTTTTACAACACAACTATTTATTTAAAAAAACTTTTACAAAGCTTTACCCTTCTTTAATTTGAAGGCTCAATAACATTTTTAAAAAGTACATACAAATGTGTCTCAGATTTAAGTTATGCATGGGAGTCTATGATCGCGTCAATGTCATTTGTTGCATATTATCGATCCACGAGTGTTGCCCTCTTTGGCAAAATTGCAGTGCTCATAGCAATCAAGGTGAATATACTGTATCTTTAAGTCTATTATGGCGTCAGTTGCTGGCTCCAATATCATTTGTTGCATATAACATCCACAAATATTTCTTGTCAGGATTGCAGTGCTTGAAGCAATCAGTTGAATATACATGATTCTTGTCTGTAAGCAATTTCAATACGCTTTCACTGAACTAGTCATTCATTGATGTATTTATCGAACCTGTGCATGCGTGTTACACTTGTGATATCCTTTCAACCACTATAAGTGTTTCGTCATTAGGATATATCGGCATCATCCCATAAGGCGCACTAGGACCAAAGAAACTACTAGAACTTGCTCTCTTTGGAAAGTCCCAATATTTATCAAAGTAAGAATTTCTAATACTGGCGGGTCGTGTAGCTCCGCTCCGTAACGTAATAACCGGAGCCATTTGGTCTTTACTCTCGTTATCATAGTCGAATTTCGAGTCTTGTGATAAAACTGGTGAACGCGTATTGTTCAATAATTGCTTTTCGCTGTCACGTGATGTAACAGTATTAGAACGCATGCGTATTTCATCTGCAGCTGGATCGGGCATGAGGATTGGAACTAAAAACAGTAAACAACAGCCGATAGTTGCACTCGCTCCTGAAGCATAGAAGGCAATCTGGTACGAGCTGGAAATGTCGTATACTATTCCTGCAAAGAGATAAGAGATAAATGTTTTCTTTTTAGTTGGGCGTATTGTTTGAAATATCAATGTACCCTAAAAGAGAGTTCAAATTTTATAGATACACTGAAACAACCTGCTCTGTGCTGATGTAAGTCACGGTGTAGCGCTAACCCTGAAACAACCTCTGCGCTGATCAAAGTCAGGGCATGGCTAACTCACAAATTGAAACCTGAAACGACCTCCAGGGTATGGCTAAGATTGAGTTGGAGTGTTTGGTTTCGTGGAGGGAAGAAAACAGGATAGAAATCCTTCATAATCAAGCACAAAGTATATGTGATGGTGAGTCCAGAGGTGAGAGACAACCCATTGAACAAACTACGTACCTGCAAGGGGAGGTCCAGCCGTACATGTGATGGCCATGAAAAAGAATTGAACACCCATTCCAGCAGCAACCTTGTCAATACCAGCTATATCAGCACACAGGACACCCAGTAAGACGACAAAACAACCATCAAAGATACCAAACACGACCATGTAAGAAACGAATCCTATATAACTCGTTGTTAATGTCATGAGAGTGTGAGCGATGCCGATGATAAGGAAAGCTATCTGGAAGACGTATAGACGATTGATTCGGGGATGATCACAGAGCTTGCCGAAGAAGAGCCGACCGAATGTCGATCCAATGGACATCATGCCGACGAGAGTCGAGGACTGTTCGCTAGAGACTCCACATTCCATGGCGTAGCCAGGCTGAAAAAAACATGAAATATAATGGATTATAAATAGGAGTATTGTTGGAACTAGATTGAAGAGAAATAGAATATTCCCATGCGACAGATATATGACAAAAATGAACCTATTCTCGAAGAAAAACGAATTCACTTCTATAACTTACCAAATGAACAAAAGGAACGAAGTACCCCAACATAAAAACACTAAGAGAGACACACCACACAAGGAATGCCTTGTTCTTCAATACCGAGAACTCGAAAAGTGGTTTCTTTTCTTTCTTCGGCGCCTCGAGTTCTGCGCTCTTAGTCGTGATATTATCAATGGCGGGCTTCTTGTAGAGGGTTGAAGTAAAGGCACATATTAGAACTAGTGCTGCAAGGACACGCACAGAATTGGCCCAGCCTAGTTTGTTTACAAGCAAAAACATGAGAGGACCAACTGCGATCGTACCGATACCACTTCCTGCTGTAACGATACCATTTGCCAAACTAACTCGTCTGAAAAAACAATTCAATGAATACATAAGGCCTGGTTTAAACGTTGAATTCCACATGTGGCGAGTTTAATGCAAAGCCTATTGTGAAATTCGACGTTTATATTTTAATYGTTCAAGCTGGGCCTAAGGATGAGCAAGTGCATGTGTTCACTGATTTAAACACTTGCTTCAACTTCCGGTAACCATAGTTCTAAATACCCATAAAACGGTTAAGTGATGGAACGGGTGCATTGCATACACGCAGTTGAAGAAACTACTAAGATGTGGAAAGTGGGAGTGAAGAATTTGAAATAATTGACGGCATCTATTTATAAACTAAGATGAAGCGAAAGAAATGGAAGAACGCAACAATGAGAAAGGAAGGAAGGAAGGAAGGAAGAAAGAAAGAAAGAAAGAAAGAAAGAA